GGATTATCCATGCAGGGTGTCCCCAAGGGATCGCCCCACGGATGTCACATACACAGCACAACCTGGACCCGGAACGAGACACGGATTTTTTTCGGGGACCCACAGAGGGTTTGAAGGAGAGGGGGGGGGGGCTGGACGACAGGATGAAGGTGAAGACCGGAATCAGTATGTTTGTCTGTACCCACTTGCCCACCTTAATGCGAGCTGTGCGGACCTCCAAAGCACCCAGCCTTTTCGAAAGGTCGGCGACCTTGCGTTGGATTCTGGAGAGCGTGGCGGCAAAGTCCGGAGCAAGGGCTAGCGGCTCCGGCACCGGAAGGCCCTCCAAGACTGTTGGGGGCAAAACGAGGGAGAGATGAAAGCTCGTCCAGCAGGGATTTAGGGAGCAGGTAAACTTGAAATTCAGGAAGTGAGGGCCGACATGGTGAGACGGTCCGGTGAGGTGTGGCTGTGTAGCTGGCAGGGCTATGGGATGTGGGACTGGCCTCTGATATGCATGGATAGGAGGATGATGGATTGATGGGACAAGAAAAGGTCTTACAAGTTGTACCGGCCGTATTGGCCAGCAATCTGTGTGTCCTAACAAAGGATATCCTTTAACGAGCGCACATCTGACCAGGGTATGGATTAAATGGTAGCCCTTTATTGGGACGAAACTTGTCGTACCGTGTATGAATGGACAGCGGTGCACGCACGGGAGGGACAGCTGTAACTGTGGCAAGCCGGTAGCTTTTTGGCATAAAAAGATGTGCAACAAATGGCGCTTACCGGTTCTTAACCTATGCAACTCTCGCGAAAGCTGCAATTGGCTGGCCGAGAGCTTGTCGTAGATGTCCTCAGCAACGCCTCGCTGCCGTGCAATGATAGCCCTGCACTCTGCAATATAATATTTTATATTTTGGTGTGTATTGGGCCATAGGTACGGTACAGATTGATTGAGCGGAAGTGACTGTTTTCTTTGGTCACAGCTTACCACCTGCAACGACAGAAGAAGTGGTCTGGGCATCAACAACGCCACCGGGAAGCAGCATGAACCCGTTACGTATTTCCGAAGACGGGGATCGATATGCGAGAAAGGAACGAGGTTTAGGATTTGAGCCCTTTGCAGTTAAATGAACAATTAACCATTCGGGTCCTGCCCGGTTTTTTTTTCTACGGCGACTGGACCTAACTTGTCTGTTATGAATTGGATCGCGCGGTACGCGGCGTTCTCAGTTTTCGCACGCTTTTGCTCTCCGATGTATCCTATATGATAATAAGTTTGGCTCTTCTACTCTTGTTATTCACACGGCCGCTCTTCACGCAAAGTTGAAATCAACGCCCCGAAAATTGGTTTCAAGCGCGGTACTTGAAAGTTAAGCACGGTACTAGACCGTCTGGATGTGACTGTGGCTGTCACGCGCTCTTCACGTTGCTGTCGCTTCTTTGTAGTTTGTCTTTGTCCCACTTTCACTTGAGCAACCGGTGGCGCACGTAATCTGCTCGCCAGGCGACCTTAGGCATTTTCATTTTTCGCGCCGACCACTCAACTCTCTCTGTGGCACACATCGGGTGCGAGCTGAGATCCGGGAATGAGGCGAGCGACGGCGGCCCTCTGGGTGCCCTGTGTACGCACAGGGCAGCACACACATGTATGTATGTATGTATGTGCGCGCATAATACGCACGGTACGCACATACAACTTATAGCACGTGTACATACATACACATACACACCTACGGCCTGTGGCATTCAATCATTCATTTATCCCGGGGCACACAGAAAAGCGGACCCGCAGCCGAAACTTCGCACAGCCATCTCACACAGCCATCTGAACAGTCACCTCAAATAGCCATCTCAAGGAAGTCAGGGACCCTGAGGGGCAGCACAACTCCGAAAAGAAATCGTGTCCAAATCGTAACCATGGCATCCACGACCCATCCTTCCGTCTTCTCCGCATGTCTGCGGTGTTTTTGTTCACTTTGAGTGTCATCGCACTCCTTTCCGGTAACTTCCGGAAACGCCACCAGTCGCCGTTAGCAGTGATCGCTAAACACATGTTAAACCCGCCCGCGTTGGTCCCCCACCACCACCAACTCATATCGCATACATGCTTGAATAGCGTACGCAAGCAGCAGCGTACACAAGCACCTTCGTCCAGCATTCTACAAAAAGCAGTGACCCCTCTTGCAAGAAAGAAAAGAGTGATGAAGCAGTGAGCCAGCTCCCACGCCTCACTTTCGCCAAGGCACCTTCCTCTCCCCTCTATACTCGTAAACCACTGCCTCACATACGACGCAAGATCATGTTGCTGCTCATGCCGGCGGCGACATTAAAACATGTTAATATTACCGGAGAACTCGGTAACAGTTCCTGCTCCCCCCCCTGGTTCCCTCATCTCCCCCCCGCACCCAACCCTGTGGCAGTGCTAGGCCGCAAGCTCGCACCGGCGGAGACCACATTTGCGCGGGCGGCCGCCGCCGCTGCGGCGGCCCCGCCGCCCGACGGTGCCCTTGTTGGCGATCCCGAATCCTCCACTAACTGTAGCTGCTGTAGCTGCTGTAGCTGCTCCAATGAGTCACTGTCGGTACGGCTTTGCGATACGAGGGCAATGGCGTCCCAGAATCCTTGCCGCAGAGTCTTGTCAGTGGGATTGAGCTTCAGGCCTTGTTGGAACGCATGAGCCTGAGGTGAGAAGCGTGGGCATTGGGATTCGGGGCGTGAGGGTTTCGAGGATTCGGATTTTTAGGGATATGGTGCCCTGCATGTGCGCGAATGTGTGTGTAGATGTGCGCATGTGCGCGATATAAGAAGCAACATGCGCACTTAGTTGGCCCACTAGCTTCTTAGGCCACTTTGACCAAAGCTCCGACCAAAGCTCTAGCCTCTTACACTGTGCTTGGTTTCACCTTGGTGACCCGGGTGGTGCTGCTCTCACCTCTCACCCCTTGGGGGGACCAATAGTAAGACCCAGGAGGAGGGTCATTCAGTCACTTAACCAATATCTCTAACACACTATTTCGCTAGTTAGTTAGACGAGACCCGCGATCGTCAACTGCCGACACCGGCACCGTCGCAATCCAAGTCCTCTCCCTCGTCTAGGGGATGTGTAGCTATCGCGTTACAACACCCCCACAGGAACACATGCTTCTCATGAACTCCTCAGCGCACCTCTTCCACATTCACCCACTGGAAATAAGTTTGATACTTTTGCTACTGCTTGAAAAGCTCCGGTAACCCTTCTCCTGTTGCTACCGCGGCTGCTGCTACTACTTTTGCTACTGCTTAAAGAGCTCAGGTAATCAGCCTCCCACTGGGGTAGAAGTAATGAACTTACCGCTCCTACATAATCCTTCAAATGGAAGAGTGCAAAGCCTTTGTGATAATGGCCGTCCATGATATGTGGGGCCAGCTCCACCACTCGGTCCGCATCAGCAGCAGCCCGCTCGTATTGCTGAAGGCATGATAACGCGATGGATCGCATGCGGTACAACTGTACGGCAGCACGGAATTAACGGCGTGTACACGGGGGAAAGAGTAAAGTTGGCAACTAGCTGGGTTTGTGGGGTAAGGAGTGAGGGGAGGAGAGGAGGGTGTTGGGAGGCTGTTTTGCGCGCATTTGGTTTTGTGCAAGGATTGGCGGTTGGGGGGAAAGGGGGAGAGATGCCGGCTGTAGGTTCTTAGATGCGCGGGCTTATAGGAACTTCGGGACTGTGGGGGAGAGGAGGAAACTAGTTATGCAAGAACGCATAACGAGATAGCTGCTGCTGGCTGTGGGTGCGGGGAAAGAGGAGGAGGGGGAAAAGGAGGAGGGGGAGGCGGAGGAGGAGGGGGAAGAGGAGGAGAAGCCCCTCCAAAACCCCCCCTCCTCGGTTGCTTCGAGGGGCTCGCGTGTGGAGGGACCTTCAAAACACCCCCCTCCATAGGCCTTCAAAACACCCCCCTCCCCACACCTCAGCTCTCAAAGCGCTCCTCAAAACCCTAACATCTCTTGCCCTTCCTAACCTCCGCCCTGTCCGCATCCGTCTAACGCCCAACCGCAATCCCGCTGGGTGTAAGCTTAGCATCTAAGCATGTATCCGCTGAATGGGTGGATTAGGCGGCCGGAGTGGTGTCGACCAGTAAGTCGTCGAGCCACCAGCTAGCGGGTGTGACGGTAAGGAAGAGCACGGCCTCCACTTCCGGTCCTCCGCACCTTGTAGCTCGTTGAGTGTAACTCAATGGCAATGTCCAGACAGTGAAGGGCGTCCTCAAATTGCTTTGTAGACAGGTGCTCCTTTGCCTTCCGCCTTAACTGCGTGTCCAACGACGGGATTAAGGTTTTGCTGCAAGCATGGCATGTATCGTCATAGCGCACCACACCTCGTGAATCTTCTGTTCAATTCGCGGATCAATTTTTGCCTTTATCTTCTTCTTCTCTCCATCTATGCTGCCTGAGGTGCTGACCGTTGTCTTCCCTTTATCCGCCATCAGCTCTCAGCTAGTTTAGTCTTGGGCTATCAACGAAACCCGTTACATAATTTGAACCTAATAAAATGGCAATAAGCAACTTGTTCTCCTGCTCGCTCGCCAATTATGCTTCAGGAAATGTAGTTAGAAATTATGCTTCAGGAGTCTAGTTATGTATGTGCAGGTCAGCTTGCGAAGCTGCGTCTATGCCAAACCAAGGGTTCTAAGCAATCTTTCTTGTCCAAGCGAAAATTGCTACTGGTTGAGCATTGAGTGTCCTTGGATAGTCGTGCATAACTGCGGATTGCTCTGACTGGTAAAGCATTTTCTCAGGTCTATATAAGCACATTGTTTGTAGCTTTGTAGCTGTTGCGACTACTTTATGGAGGTATAACTGGTATCCGTAAAGAACAGGCCAATTTTCCTCGGAACACTGTTCAGCTACCTTGCTCACATAATGAAATGTTGCATCATCAACTGCTAGACCAAACCCATTAAGTAGAATGCTTCACGTCTCAAAATGCCGTTCCACGCAACTTTAAGGGTGTTGGTCCCTAAGCAAAGGCGGACGAATGGCATGTAGCTTTTCTCTTCACATAATAAGCGTGCGCAGTCTTCCGAGCGAGGCCGTTCGGGCTGTGCTTGAGGTATGCGGAGGTGCTTCGTTTTGACGGCTCACAATCAGACCAACAGTACTTGACCACTGCACCGCGGCTCTTTGGCATCTAATAGGTGATCGTTCGGACGCCACGCTTTCTGAGCACGTCAAAGCAGAAGTACGCATCGGAGCCGTTCAGCGTACAATCGGCGCGAGGCGTGTCGTTGAATTGGACGCAAACAAAGTCAGCCAAGGTGCGATCGAGAGGTTCCATGGGCCCTGCGAGGAAATTTGGCATGGCGCAGGATGGGAGCATTTCCGTGGGCAGGTCTGCATGTGGACCGCTGCCGATTGCCGACCTCCCCATCCCCCACCGGCTCAGCCTTCGTCTCTCTTGACCAACCTCTGGCCGGCCATCACACTGCACGACTCACTCTTAAGACGTTACATCTCACACAGCCCGTTGCGCCCCTCAGCCATTGTAATAATGCAACATGCATTGGACCAGTAAAGATCCCTGCCCACCACCACTACCGCCTCCTCCTCCTCCTCCTCCGCTACACATGTTCCCTTTCCTTTTAACCTGCCCGCTGCTGCCAGGTCTCTTCCACCTCCACACTCCCATACTCCCATTACCATACCTTTGCCCGCCACGCTCCGGGACCAGGCATATGTAAGACTGCTACTGCTGCCGGAGGAGGCCTCGCCGGAGGCCGATGCAGCCGCCGCAGAAGCAGAAGTAGGAGCAGCAGCAGGTAGCCTATCGACGGCGGCGATGACGGCGACCGGAGGCGCTGTAGCTGGTGTGCCGCCGTCGCCAATGGTGGCGGCCGCGGCCACGTCAGCGTTCGCGCGAGGGCCGGCAGTAGCAGTATCCGGGGGCCCTAGCTACCAGAGGGTTCTTAAGAGCTCTGAGGCGCTCCTGCAGCTGCTAAGTGGAGAGCAGCAGCAGCAACAGGGGATGCGAGGGATGCATCCACCGCCGGGGGCAGCGGCGGCGGCGCAGGTTCAGCAGCTGACGCTGGTGTTTGAGCCGACGGAAGCGGGGCCGACTGGAGTTGGGGATCAGAGCAGCGGAGCCGACGGAGCTCCGGCGGCAGCGGCGACAGCGGTGGGTATTCGTGTGCCATACGGTGCCCGCGTGTGTGTTTGTGTGTGTGTTGTTTTCCATGACGTCCTGTAAGTGAAGAAGCGCCTTTGTACGAGGAAATTTGTTCTACTGGGTAATTAACGAAGCCCAAAGCAGTTTTAGACTCCATAACCCTAGAGGTCACGCGTCAATATCTTTACTTGCCTGTCTGTCTGTCTGTCTGTCTGTCTGTCTCTATCTGATGTCTTCCCATGCTTCTCATGAAGGGAAGATATGTAGCCTGTCTCTGGCAACAAACTCTTAGCACTGTTCCTGGGTCCGCCGTCATCATAGCCGTTTATTGGCCGTCTTCCTTTTCTTCTCCTTTGTCAGGTGGATCTGGATCTTGTCGTACTTGCTGTCGGCAAGGGCGGCGCCGACGGCCTCGGCGCCATCACTGCCATAGCGCCAGCGACGGCGGCGGCGGCGGCGGGGGCTAGTTGTTCGTCTACGCCGTGGGCCTGGTCGGAGGTGATGTCTCCCCCGGCGGCGCCGCCGCCGCACACGCCGCCGAGGGCGCCCCGGAAGCGTTCTTGGCTGTCGGCGCTGGGACTGGGCCGTCAAGTTCAAACCGCCAGCGGCGGTGCTGCTGCCGCCACCATCGCCGCCCCTTCAGCGGCTGTTAACGGCGGCGCAGCCGCCGGAGAACAAGGCAACCGAGCTGGCGTTTGGTGCGATCCAGCGGCGCCAGCGGCAGGCGGCGGCGGCGGCGACGATATGGTAGTTGGTGTGGCAGCTTTGGGTGAATCCAGCAGCCTTGCCACATGCGCCTGGGACCCCGTGGCTGTGCTTTCATCAGCGACAACGACCGCAACCGTCACAACGACAACTGTGGCAACCGTTGCAACTGTGTCATCGTCGTCGCAAGCCGGGCACGGCAACGCGCCTGCCGCAATGTCGCACAGGTTCCAGGAGGCCGCTGGGGAATCCGCGCAATGGGCCGCACCGCCGCCACCGCCAGCGGCGAGCCATGAGAGACAGCCCCGTACGGCAACGCTGGAAGCCGCCAGAAGCCTTCCGGGTTGTGCTACGGCGGCGGCGGCGGCATTGTCGCCTTTTTCAACTTTGGCCCTGGCTTCGGCGGCGGCGCCGACCGTCCAAGTTGTGGATCTGCCAATGCTCGATACGGCAGTCGCCGCCGGCGCCGCTCTACCGGCGCCGCCGCAATTACCGCACAGCGCAGCAGCCATGGCGACGGCCTCAACGGGTTGTCCTGCACCCCAGGCTCCGAAACGCCGCCGCCTGGGGGACTTCTTCGCGCGTTTGTTCCAACCCTCGTCGTCGGACAACCAAGTACGGCGGATCACGGCCACTGAGGACAGCGCCAGCAGCGTCGGAGCTGCTGGCGGCGTTATGAACGGTACGGCAACGTTGGCGGCGATGCTGCCGCCACCAGCGCCCCTCGCTTCGCCGCTGCTTCGGCGGCTCAGTACTCCTGTCGGGCTGACGCTGCTGCCGCCGCCGAGCCCGCGACTTGGTGACGTGTATCGGGTGCAGGACAACGCCCTGGCGTCTGACACTGCCGTACAGATAGGTTTCCCTAGCGTCGGTGACGCTGCCGCAGCCGCCACGGCGACGCCGGCGCAGGCTGCCGACCAATTTCCGCCGGGGCTAGAGTCGCCGGGGTACGGCGAGTTGTCGCCCGCCGGTGGCCCTGACAGGTTAACCATCCCGCCGCCTGTGGAGAGCATGGCTGCGGCCAGCCTTGCCAGTCCACGGGCAACGTCGCCAGCGGCGCAGATGAGCGGCTGCTTCTTCTGGCGGTACGGCGCGGCGGCTCGCGCACGCGTGGCAGCGGCGGCGGCAGCCGACGCCGACGCTGACGTTGCCATGCCGCCGCCGCCGCCTCCAGGCGCCGGCTGCCTCGGCCGCGCCGGCTCTGCGCCGGCCCTCCCCGCCGCGGCGGCGGCGGCTGCCGCCGGGAACGCCGCCGCCGGCCGCCAGCTGAACACGCTGTCGGCAGGAGACGCGCTTCCAGCCGATACTCCGTCGTACACTTCCGGCACCGGTTGCCGTACAGGAGATCAGATACTCAACCAGGTCCAACCGACACCTAACCGCCCTGAGGGCGGTCACTGCAGTCAAAAAACAATACGGCATCAAACTCAAGGCAGCGCCGCCGCCGCCGCCGCCGCCCCCTGGAGCGATCCTCTCGGCGGGGAGATTTCCCGGGTGATCGAGTTTGTGAACGCGCAGAAGGGTCTGGAAGAGGAGACTCGGGCTCTGGCGCTTAGCCAGTGCCAGTAAGTACCTGACGTTTATTAAGTACCTAGCTTGAATCGCTGTTTTCCGGGAACGAAAGGAGAGGAGAGAAAAAGGTGGGAGGAAGAGGACTTCTGAGTCCGTTGGGAGCCCTTACATGACGACCCCAGACAAGCCGCCCTTCCACTCTCTCACACACAGTATATAATACTTATATACATATATATACAAGACAGGCAGATCCGGTGGTGGTATTCTTAGGGTGTATTCCGGTGTAGGTCTGCAAATACCTTTCTTGGTGCCTTACCCTTGGGGTCTGTTTTATCCACCCGCCCTCATCCGACCTTCCCTGCTCCCCCCCTTCCTAGCCCTCATCCGCTTCTTTCCTCTTCCTGGCCGGTCCTTGCTCGACCACCCCCGACGAGTCAGGTTTCTGTTGGACTGCCTACGAAGCTCGGAAATGTGCTGGCTAGTGGGGGACAGCCTGCTGCAACTGAAGCGTGAGGTGGGGTTTCCCTTCGACACAGGAGTACCCATCGCCGGCGCCCCCGGCTGGTTTCGGCTCGTGCTTCAGCACGCCACGACGTCAGCGGCGGCTGTGGCGGCGGCGGTGCCATCAGCTGGTAGCGGCACCGCCGCCGCCGCCGCCACAACTCCGCCTGCGGCGGCGGCGGAGGTCCTGAAGGTTCGTTGGGCGTGTATTGACCAAGGAGTGGTCGGGGGCACCAATGCCTGTGCCGCCATCTGTCTGGAGGTGGCGGCGTGGTGCTTGGGTGCCGTACAACGCTGGCGTGAAGCATCATCATCATCCGGATCCCCTGGCCTGGCTGGAGGCGGAGGCGGCGGTAGCGGCCGCAGGGATCTGGCGCCGGCGCTATCACGTTCCCAGTGGGACCGGCTGGCGGCATCAGTCGAGTTGGAAGCGATGTGCGGCGCCTCCCTAGAGCAGTGCATCAGGTCGGGTACGGAAGTATGGCAGGCCGTGCTCGTACAATCACCGGCGTCGCGCGTCGCAACCAGTACCGGCGACTTTGATTTGGAACATATGCTGCAGTTGGGCGGCTACAGCTTGCGGCTACGGCTGGCAGATTACTCGGCGGCGTCGCTGCTGGAGGACGGCGGCGTGAGCGGCGACGGCGGCGGCGGCTGCTCCGCCGCCGTCGCACCGGAGCTGCAACCACCGCCGGCGGCTTTGGCGGATGTGGCGGGGCTTTCCGGATCTGAGAATTCCCCTCCGCCGCCGCCGCCGCCACTGGCGGTCCCGCCAGATGGCGATCTAACAGGTGACGAGGCTGGATGGGGTCCGGCGGCGCCGCCGCCGCCATCCACTCGCAGTCTCCGCACTGGGCCACAAGGCGGGCTGCCGACGTTCGCGGCCCTGGTCCGGAGCCTCGCGCAGGTGCGTGTGCATGCGTGCGTGTGAAGACGCCTGACATTAAGGAACGCGGAAAAGGCGGAAGAAGGAGAAACGGGAGAAAAGTTCGTACTTGCGAGGGCAATCGATCTCTTGAGAAATTTGTAGCTTGCATGTACCGCATCTTGTGTAACCTCCTCCTCCTCCTCCTCCCCCCGCCTCCCTCATACGCGGTCCTTTGATAAACTGTTAAGACGTCGGCTCTGAACCCACAACATGGGGGGCTGCCATAGCAGCCGGAGCCCACACGACCTTAACAATGCACTGCAGCTGTCCTAGTAGCTGTCAGCGGCCATAGTGGCGCAATTTATCGAACGCATATGTAGGTAGGTAGGTAGGTAGGTAGGTAGGTAGGTAGGTAGGTACTATGTATTATATACTATGTATGTTGTTACAGGGTGGTTAACTTCGCCAGCGGCCCCCTTTCCCGGGGCAGTCCCTGCTCTCCCCTGCTAGAGGGGCACCCTAATCCGTCACCCCATCCGACTTCAGAATGTATTCGTTGGGTTCGGCAACTCACCACCAGCATCCAACCAAATCTAGCGGATCAACGGCGCATCAACTTAGTTCCTGGTCAGCTCGCAAGTTGATATTATCACGTCCTACACCGTCCATATGATGGGGGGCCACCTCCCATTTCATCACTCCTCAAACACCCGAGGAGCCGGCAGGCGGATTTGAACCCGGGTCGACTGGGTCGACTGGGAGCAGAAGTCAGGCCTTAACCTCTGCCAGCCGCCTGCCATATACTATGTATGTATGTCCTGGACGCATACCCCGAGCCGTTGTCGAAAACGGTGCGATCCGGCCACTCCTACTGCCGCCGTTGGGCCCTCTCGTTCATCAGGGCGTCTACGTCTTGGGGTGGCGCGGCCACTTTGCGACGCTGTGGTTACGTCCCGGCCGTGTCGTACACCTGATCGACTCGCTTGGCGCACGACTGGCGGCGGACTGTCCTCTGGCATTCGTGCTCGAGTTCGACACGCCAGCCGAGTTTTTGGAGTTTTTCCTTGCTCGTCACCAGGCCCGGCGCGATGATGCCGCCGACGACGACATTTCCGGAGCAAACTTGGCGGCTCTGATTGAAGTGCACCGTTTGGAGCTCCTACAGCCGGCGGCGGCGACGGCGACGGCAACGTTGTAGTGACGCTGTTAGTACGGCCATAATATGAATAAGCGTTTCGGAGGATATATAAGCGTTTTGGGTGCTGAGAGTTGATGCTGCATCTACGGGCGGGTGATCCTGAACAAAACGGAAGAGCGCTCTCGCAAATTTTGATGTTTGAACGCACGCGGTCATAAATTTTCTTTCCAGCTCGATGATTGGTTGACCGTGCCGTAGAGGACGACACATACTTACATTCATACATACATACACAGTGTGACGCGCGCAAGTGGCTAGAAGTTGCGCATCATGAGGTCGGACCATAAGAGCATAAGTGCTGTTTTCGGACATGTTGCTGGGAGTGGCGCGTGTGCGGCGTTGTGGGACTCTGCGGGCTGGGTGGCTCTTGTGGCTGGCTATGGATTGTATGTTGTGGTAATGGTGGGTATGCTGTTGCTGGTGCCTCGCCATGCCTCTTTCTGTACTATTGCTGCTGCTGTTGCTGCTGTTGATGATGATGTCGGTCGGGGGCAACGCCATCGCCGGCTGCTGCTGCTGCTGCTGCTGCTGCTGCTGCTGCTGTACTATGATGCTGATCCGGCATAGCGCTTCAGTCTCTGCTGGTGTAGGAGGAGGACATCAAGGCCCTCCAACCCGTCAGGTGTGTTACTCTTGCGTCACAAACGTATCGAAATCAACTGCACATTTTGGTCAAAGCTTTTTTGCGTCCGGGACATCACACACGACTGCATGGAGTGGGGATTGTTACTACGCATGTATGCGTGTGTGTATGTATGTATGTTCAATAATCGTGACGGCAAAGCAATGTTGTGCGAATGTTTTGTCGCTCCTACGTCAAACAGGACAGGCTGATGGGTATATTTGCGAGTATAAACGCAGTCGCCCCTGTGTAGGGCTAATCTTCTCCTTTCTTTGTGCTGTGCGGGGCTGCTTGTTGGACGCGGATGGAAACGTTCGTGGAGCGAAAGGCTGCTTTATTAGGGATAGGGCGCATGTATGTTAGGAACGGAGAAACTGAAGTGAGTACGGGACGTGTTGGGCACGGCGGGTGGCCACATGCTCTAAACCTGCATTCCTTCAACTCCAAAGCGTGCTGTTTATTGTGTGGGCAGTAACATTCATGCTGCCAGCAGGGACGACGATGCCGCGTCGGAAGGTTCGGTCGCTCGAGGAGAGCGTGAGTCACGTGGATAACGTGTCAAGGAGTTAAGAGCTAATGGTTGCGTGGCGACCACTAGAGGTCAATTACAGCGGTCATGATCAATGGTCGGCTCCAGGTCAGCAGTCGGGCAGTATTTGCCTAGGATGCCAGGATTGTGGAATGGAGTGAGAATGGAGAAGCTCTCAAAGCATCCACAATCTGTGTTGTGGCTCTACATCTAATGCACACGAAGTGGACTCTCTCCGGAGAACAAGCGGTTTGACGTCAGCGGCTGGCCTTGACACAAACGCGCTCTCTCCTTAGCAGAGTCGGTCGTACATGTCACATTCCCTTTAGGGACAAACCCCCACTTCTTCCGGTCGGTTTTTCCCGGCATCTTCCCACTCCCCAATTTCTCAGGACAGCGCGGCATGATTGCTTTACCAAGCTCCGTATCTTGACTACCCGGCGAAGGCGCACAACAAGTGCCGCTGGACAGCGACGATGGACATGTCCCCTTGAGGCCATGCAATCCGGGTTCCCTGCTTACATTGCCCACTGGACGACATCTTGCACATTCAAAACTCACTTTTCAAACTTTTACCCCTCTCCTGAGCGACATCCGGGGGGCAGTAGGAAGTTATAAACAAACGTACTACTACCAAAACAACACACTCACGAAACACATCCCCTGCAAAAATAAGGTCGTCGTCTTCGAAGGGGTCCGAATTCCGACACCGCACGGCGTATTGGTGCTCTGCGGTTTAGCAGGGTGCACGTTGACGCCCGCTCTCACACCGCCGCCACTTTGGTTCGCCCGGCACAGCAGTCTTCCACGCCGCTGCTCCCTGCTCGTACCAAGCGCACAGGTCCCCGCTAGGAGCAGTACTGGGAGGGCGTCGTGTGTCTTTCCAGAGACATAGACAAACAAACAGACAAAACAGCACACATACCTCTTGCATGCACGTACTTCCCAAGGTATCGATCCTGTGAGAGCGCCATAGCAGAAAACCAATCCCGAACACGGCAGCAAGGCAACGCCTCTCAGTCAACGCCTTTCATTCCTACGTTCCGCCGCACATTCACTTGTTTCCCAGCAGCTTCCCTTCCACTAAACCATATATACCCATGCGAACTTGCAAACGGAAAGACACAACCGACTCCGACTCCCAAACGAATATATGTGCACCACCACAACAGACTAACATTAGAAGCATGGGAGAGAGCCAAGGAAGTGATGGCTACTGTGATGCGGCTTTTCCCCGTCAGACACGTGTCCGCACGTAGGACAATCGTCACACCACCACCACCACCACCACCACAGCAAACTCAACATCATCATCATCGTCCTTCTCATGCTGCACTCATCCAGCAGGCATATCGTGTGTGGCCTTGGCAATCGATGGCATGATGGTTTGGGTGTTCACATATTGAGCGCCCCTGTATTGGGGATGCCCAGGTTCTTGGCCAGCTCCCGCATCTTCTCCTTCATGCCCTGCAGGACGGAGGTTTAGCGGACGAGGATGCGGACGTGAAGTAGTTGTGGTGGCGACACCGGATGGGGCATCATGCCAGTGCGGGGGTAGCGGATGCGGATGGGTAGCAAGGAAGGAAGCAACCGAGCCGACTCCACACAATACATTAAAGCAATGTACTAAGACGCCACATTCCATCATCACCAACATCATCATCATGATGATGCTTTGTAGTGGCGTAAATGCTTTATGGTTCTAATACTATGGTCTTTAATGGACGTTCCTACAGCTGTAACAGCAAGCTCTTTGCTAGCCACCCGACCAAAGCTCCCTCAGCACATCACAGCCAATAAAACACATGTCTCCAAAAGCGAAAGACTACCTAGACTTCTGGACTCCTACTCTAGGTATTAGGTCGGACTCCAAAAGGTCGTACTAAGGGGACAAGGTAGGACCTTCGCACCGTCACTAGCAAACGCGGCCAAACCAATTCCAGTACTAGTCAGGGTGCGACAGTCCGATCGGGTCCCGACAGGAATGGCACTTGTGCTGAAAATCCCGACAGGCTTTGAAAAATGCTTTCGGGCGGACCCGACGAAAAAGGGGGAAAATGCCAAACGGCCATCGGGAGCCCCCCCGACGGGAGCCCTCCGGGCCCCGTCGGGGGACCCGACAGGGTTTAGGGGCGCTAGGACCGCCCGATCGGGTGCCGTGGGTCGTCGGTGGGCCCTTCGGCGACGGACAGCTACAGCGATACATAATGGCATTCATAAAAATATAACTGGATGGAAATATGTAATATAGTGGTAGCATTCGTTCACTTCGTTGCCTCTTCTTCTTTATCCTTTGACTCTGCTGTACAGGGATCCATGCTTGCCAAGGGCACACTACCTTATCTCGACCTTATTGACAATTAACACAAAGACCATATGCAGCTTTACATTACCCTTTCGAACGTTTGCTGCCTCGTCCTGTAAGTCTGTGGGCTTTACCAAAACAGCTTTCTCAAGCTGAACCTGCTCGACCGTTGGCTTCATTCAGTGAAATCAATCAGCATGAAGAAGCGCAGTGTTGACGCGCAAGACGGTCCTGCTCAGAAAAATCCGCGCAGTTCAGGTGGCACCTTCATGGATTTGACCGGTGACCAATAGCTCGGGGCTCATTATTTGTTATTTACGTCTTTCTTAAAGAAATCAAACTAATGGGTGGGGGACGAAGAGGAGGACGAGGAGATGTTCCTCTCCAGTCCTACGGTGTCTAAGGGTCTCCTTGAAGAGCTCGGGTTGTGATGCTCACAGGCAGACGTGCATGTGTTGCTGTGTGTGTGTGTGTGTGTGTTTGTTCGTGCATATCAGAACTGTGAACTGCAAACTGAGAACTGGAAACTGCGCATATAAAACACGAATAAATGCAATTTCAAGCGGCACACAGCGAAATTTCGTTCTTGCGTCACCCTGTCGGGTGACCCGTTCTTGCGTCACCCGACAGGTTTTGGGATGGGCTATCGGGGCACCCGACAGAAATTGAAAGATATGCAAAAACGCTATCGGGTGGGGCCGACGGGCATGGGAAGGGGAAAACCGGCAACCCGACCATTTCAGGAAGGTCCTGTCCAACCCTGGTACTAGTTCTGCATCTGAGGAGAGGGCACCGCAAAAACGGTCTAAGTAACGAACCCTTATCCCCTCCTAACTCCACTCCACTCACCGCCACGCTCTTTTTGTGGGCATCTCGCATCGCCTCTGTCGTACGCCGAGAGCATTCCTGGACCGAGGCATGTGCGTGCATTGGGAGTAGCATGAAATTCGCCTTAAAAAGATGACGAGGAAAACTCGCCAGGAGTCCTTTCATTTGGAGGGAAACAGAGGGTCATTGAACAGCAATACACCCAAACGGCTACTCCGTTGACTGTGTATAGGGACGATCTACACCTCCGCACATTCCGCAGATCCGCGTTGCCACATTTCATTTCTTAATCATAACATATAATACGCCAGGAAGTTATGTACTAGTCTTTGCATCCCAAAAAAACCCTCTCCTGACCCTCCGTTCTGACCCCAAGCTTTAACCCAAGAGTTGGGACAACTCCGTGTCAATGCGTTATGTCAGTTAGATGCGTTTGCCATCATTAATGGTGGAGGCACGTCGGTCCTTCTGCCTCTTCCCTGATCCGCTCATCAACGCGACACCCACGCTGCCACTCACGCACCCTTCCTCCCTTCCCACCCCAGCTATTAACAACCCTGCCCCCCTAAAGCTAACCCCCTTTCACTTCCCCCGCTATTCCTTTCCTTACACCTACCACCATAGAACGCTGTCCTAAACTATTCCTCATCCCCCCTTCTTCCCGGATTTCTACTTTCCCCTGGCACCGCTCCGTTTGGACACCGCACCTCGGCCCCAGCCACCAGAGCCTCCTGCGTGATCTCCACGCTGCGCGGCTCCTGGTTCCCCGACATGGTCACCTGAACGTCAGATAATTCCCGAGACAGAAGCCCGAAACCAACAATTCTCAGACACCGGCGCGTGAAGGTCGGATCAGAGAAACCCAAATCGCCACGTGACATATACACAGGGCCACGATCAGCAAAAACATGTAAGCGGGTAAATTCAAGCATGGTAAAGTGGCAGAGTGCGAGTCTCTCACACGTGCTTTCCTCCCTGTCGTAACAGAGCAGCAGGCCCAGGACAGGGTCGTGGAACCTGTGTTGGAGCTGTATTACACGGTAATCAGCGGATGATCCGGCGCCTAGGACGGCAAGCAAGTTTTGACTGCTTCGTGGTGGAGCGACACCCGCCGCGAAGGCGCTAGGCCGGTAAGAAGATTTGATCTAGGTCAAATGTGGTACCACATGATATGGCATATGGGTCTTTTCGATTTCCGTGGGGCCGAACCGGGGTGGGGTTGCACAACTCACACGGACAGTCTCTTCCTCATCATAGCCTTCAAACTCGGTGCTGCGGCGGGAACATGTACGACGTTAATTGGGTGAGGGTTGCGGTCCAGTGCTGATGGGTCAGAAACGAATGGCCTGAAAGCCCGTTAGGCTTGGAAATGAGAAGCGCGCTTTAAGCACCAGATCCTTACTTCGCCAACTCGGACTGCACCCGAGCAGTCTCAGTCTGCACAAGCTGCTGGGCCTTCTTGACGCTTTCCATGAGGTTCTTCATGTCGAAAGGGTTGCCACCACCTCCCTACACAAGGCGGCATACATATCACGCACCAAAGGCCAGATGGCCGTGTAAATAGTTGGGCCGCCATTCACGACCCCAGTCGCGTGCCCCAAACAGCCTTTTGTCGAAACAAACCTGGGCACCGCCTCCAAACAGGGCATTGACTTGAAGCTGCGTGCGCTGGCGCCTGCAACGTCGTAGCGTTGAAAGGCTAACGTAACAATAAGGGTCGTTGATTGGTTATCCTTAATCACGCACACCATGAAGAATTCAGCAGCTTGGCTTCAGAGAAATTTACTTGTAACAAACTAACCTTGGCACAGCGATGCGGCAAGGGGTGTGGGTGGTGGGCAAGCCCACGCGAGCACGCATAGATCTAGCAGTCAGAGCCATTGTTACGAGGTACTGTGCAATCAAAAGTTAGATCAGTTGCTCTGTTTAGTCTCAAGTCCCTGATGGACCAAAAAGTCTTTGGTTTCGGAGACGCAGTATCACAAAGCCTGCCTAACACACTCGGGTCTTTCCTTTCCAAGAGGTCCAAGAGGTAGTAATCCCGAGGGCCATAGGCCTCGGAATTGGTTTAGATCTACACATTGCAGGCTGAGAACGCTCCGCCGACTGATTGAAATGTTGCTGCATCAACGCCCGCTTCGCTCTCAGGTTGCTTCACGCTCAGAGCGTGTTGCTGTACCAACTATCTTGCCTCAAAATGGATCCACTGTTGTGCTACCTTCCGCCGGCGTCGTATTCATGTCGCCGTCGCCTCGAGTTTGTAGGAAGCGCAGTGCAGGCCGCTTGAGCGTGTTGGCACAGGCTGCTGCTGTGGAAGCTCCTTGCCAGCACCGGGCTCCCGGTCAGGGTGTTTCACAGGTAGGGGCCCCTCTAGCGGCCGAATCATGAAGAGTTTCGCAACAGTTCAAGATCGACAGCTAGCCAGGCTTATTTCTTTCCCCCATGATTATTGAATTGTAATTTTTTTCAAAGGTTCTCTGTTTAATTATGAATCCGAGAAGGACACCGCCTTCCATTCAAACTTCGAGACGCGCTCCGCACGTGATTGCCGTCTACGGCTTCCAATAAACCCCTTTTGTATTTGCCTGCGGCAGGTCAATGTGGTCTACAAGTTTGGTGGCTCGTCCGTGCGTGATGCGGAGCGCATGCGGGAGGTTGCGGACATTATCTGCAGCTTCCCCCAATACCTGCCCTGCGTTGTGCTGTCCGCTATGGGAAAGGTAAGAATGACATGGCCGCTTTGTCTGGAACGTTTCTGCTTTATTCGTGCCTTGGCGGGAGCGGGGTTAAAGGCACGCGCCCAGCTGCCGATTACCTTTCGTCAACCAGAGAAGCTTGAATATTCAAATCCCTGTGACACCTGGGGCAGGTTCCCAAACCCAGTTCCGGAATTATCTATGTACTAAACCTACTCCCATCTGCTGTCTCGTTCCTGCACCCACGCCACCGGAATGGATTTAGACCACTAACATGTTGCTGGAGAGCGGTGACTTGGCGTTGAAGACCAGCACTGACGCCATTAGCGAGCTTGCGCCCCTCAAGTAAGCAGCATGCAAGGGCGTACGAACAAGAAATTGTACGCTGTCCTACCCTCCAGCATGCATATGATTTTGGCTGCAGATCCATCCTCACAGCGCCGAACCCGGTATGCATTTTGCGCTTTCTTCAGCAGTGCATGTTGTTTTTGTGGATCCAGTAGCTGGCATGTGCGGCGGCAGTTGGCATTCCATCCTATCTATCTGATTCACCCTTCAGGTTCGCTCGCATTTTACCTTGGTAACCAGGCCGTTGCCTGTGCCCTCATCCTGATGTGTGTTTCGTTGGCCAAATCGGGCTTGGAATGTATTGAATGGAGTATTTAGGTGTTGAAGACCATACCTGGCGTGGTTTTGCAGGAACATCCGCAAGCTGCATCTGGACACATGCGACGAGCTGGGTATCGAGCCGTCGGTGCGTCATGAGGTGGAGCGCCTTCTCAACGAGCTGCAGCAGCTTCTAATCGGTATTTCCATTATGCAGGTGGGATCCGCAAAGAGGAGGCAAAAGCAATAGATCCATAGCCGGTAGGCGCTTCCAAGCCGCTAACATGAACCCCTTGATATGGCAAACGAACCAGCATTTGGGTCGGCGTTAAAATGTTTCGAAGGTATCAGATGATAGGCTATTATAAGTATTGGGTTGATGGGGCCCTGGCGGCACTTTTTGTGATCTGACATATCTTGTTGTAAGCCTGTCACGAGAGTTGCTATGTTTTGCCGTCAGGAGGTTGTTGGGGTAGGCATCGGGTAATCTGTACGGGCTTCTCGAGAGCACGAAGGGGGCTTTGATTTTGGGCCCGCCTCAGTCGAACCTTCCGACCGCAACAACATTACCACTGTTGTTTCCTTGGGATTCCTTCATCGCCCGCCGAGTCGTTTAGCTGCCTGTACGAGGTCAGTTGGTATTATTTGCAGGTTTGCAAAGGCGACTTGACAAAGTTTTACGACCGTTGTCCCTTAGGATCTGACCCCTCGCGCCAAGGACAGCCTGGTTTCATTCGGCGAGCGTCTGGCCACCCGCATCTTCGCATCCTATCTGCGGGCCCAGGTATGCCCCTTGCATTTTGCAGATCACTCTGGGCAGTCTTGCTTGTTTCGTATATTGTCAGGGTTCATTTCCGTTTCCTATGTGCCGCCGGTCTGAAGCAGCGCAGCAGGCGGGCGGGGCCGGTTTGCCTCCACATTTTTGTGGCTTGTGTAGGCAAATAAGGCCCAGAAGGAGTTACCAAGCCCTGCCAGCTGGCTAGCACTGTGCTAGCTTGCCATATAGTTCGTTTATCGTTCTGTGTGGCCCTGTGGAAAACGGACTTGGGATGGCTCTGGGGTGCCTGCACTTGTCCGCCGTGTTGGAACAATGAAACGATTAGAACGGTCTCCTAAAGCTTCCTGGACGCTTTCCATCTGTCTGCCTCCTCTCAGGGTATCCCCGCTCGCCAGCACGACGCCTGGGAGCTGGGTTTGACCACCACGGACGATTTCACCAACGCCGATGTGATCTATGAGGCGTCGCTGCCCGCCATTGCCGCTGCGCTGGCGCCCAAGCCCGGCCAGGCGGTGGAAATCCCCATCGTGACTGGCTTCCTGGGCCGTGGCCAAACCACAGGTACCTGGTGTTGCCGGCGCCTGGCTGCTACTTGGCCGCAGTTAACACATTCTCAGCATTTCATGACATGTTCGCCTCTCCGCTTTCCGCACCTTGCTTACGCGTCTTTCTACCGCATGCTCTTCCAGGCGCCGTCACAACACTGGGCCGTGGTGGTTCTGACCTGACTGCTACTGTGCTGGGCGCTGCTCTGGAGCTGCCTGAAGTGCAGGTCTGGAAGGATGTGGACGGTGAGCATAGGGACAGGGAAGCGTGCATGCATAGCAACCAGGGGTACTGGCCGAGAAGGATGTGGTTTAAAAGTCTCATAGTATGTGACCTTGTGGATAGTCCTAAATAGGAATGCGAGTTCCCGATCCTGTAGAGCAGCCATCGTCCGGTAGGTTCCCTGGAGTCCGAGAGGTAAACCCCACCGTCTTGTGGGCGCCACATACCTTTCGTGGGTCTGCGTCCTGGTCCTTTCCAGCTTGCTCGCTCGACCTTTCCCGCAGCGACCTCACCCTTTCTCATGTCGTTCCCTTACGGAACTGTCGTTTCATCCCACCAGCTTTCTACGCCGCTTTACGTCGCGCTCGCGTCGCGTCCTTACCGTCCCGTGAGGTGAGGCTATCATCAAGATGAATATTAAAATACCAACGTTTTTGAGCCCCTCGTCTCCCTCCCTTCCCATACACTCGTATCCTGCCCGTAGGTGTGCTTACGTCGGACCCCCGCATCGTGCCATCCACGCGGCCTGTGACGGAGCTGACGTTCGAAGAGGCAACCGAGCTGGCGTATTTCGGTGCGCAGGTGCTGCACCCTCAGGCCATGCAGCCCGCCATCCGCTCCGGCAAGATGAACGTGCGCGTCAAGAACTCTTACAACAGGTAGGTATATGTGTATATGAAGCTGTGGTCACCGTATCGGATACGGGTTCACTTGCATCAAACAATCATTAGTTTGTCCTTTCCATTGTGACGATCAAGTGCCACTTGCAATGAGCTCAGGATGTGTTTTTTAAATCCCGGCCGTGTTTCATACCCACCTAATATACCATATCTCGCACCGTTCCGTGTCCCACAACCACTGCACCTGCAGAGAGGCCGCCGGCACAATTATCTCGGCGGCGCGCGACATGAAGTGCACCGTGGTGACCTCCATCGTGCTAAAGTCCAATGTGACACTGGTGGATATCATCTCTACGCGCATGATGGGCCAGTACGGCTTCCTGGCCACTGTGTTTGACACATTCCGTCGTCACAAGATCTCGGTGGACGTGGTGGCGACTTCTGAGGTGAGATAAGCTGTTGGTGTCTAAGCGGGGAAAGAGGTGGTATGAGATAACGAGAGAGGCGAGCGGAGAGGGGAAAATGGAGAAACGGAGAGGCAGCGAGGAGCGAGCGGTCAAGGTGGATGGCCAGCATGGAATTTTCGGCTTTAGCCCAGCTGTAATATGTGAAATGCTAGGTATGGCTGAGGTTTACACAGCGCGCATATTTTTGCGCGCATTTCGGTGGTGGTGCTGTTGGTGGTGTTGCAGCGATCCGGTACACAGGCTTGAAAGTCGGCGGGGTGGCTGGAACCTGGGGGCTGGTCGCAGGGAACGACGGCAGTGCGCCCAGCGGTACGTGCCGCTACTGTTGACCTGGGTGAGATAATGGAAGGGTCTCGTTGATATTGCACGGGCGCTGGCTTTCGCGTTGCCTTGTAAGAATTCAGGTGCCTGTTTCGGGCATGAATTCGGCACGTCTTTTGAGGACTCATCTGTCTGTCTGTTCATTTAACTGGCCCTGATGAGAGAGGGCTACTCCAGGTCCCAACACGCAGTTCATTGTCCGACCTTGCGGTGTCCTGTGCTCCGACCGCGGCACCGCATCCCGTCCGTTTCACGCACGCCAGTCTTCATGCATCCAACCCGTGCCGCGCTTTGTCCCGCCCGCCCTCATGCGTTGTCCTTCCGTCCCCTTCCCTTCCTGGACCTTGTTGCCCGCTTGCAGGTGTCGGTGTCTCTAACGCTAGATCCTAAGAAGATTGCCGGCGCGCCGGACGATGAGCTGTCTCAGGTGCAGACCGAGCTGGACAGGATGGCCGCGGTGTCGTTCCGCAAGGGCCTGGCCATCATCTCCCTTATCTGCAACGTGGAGAAGACCAGCGAGATTCTCATGCGGGTGAGTCTGCGGGTAGTGGGATCACGTGTGGGATTTGAACAAAGCAGTCTCGATGCGGCCGAGTACGAAGATCAAGAGGAAGCGATGAGAAAGGACGAGAGAACGGGAAAAGAGCTTGGGATGGATTGATGTTTGGATCACGGCCGCGGATTGGTTTTGAGTCACGCGAATGCAAGCGATACGCATTGTAGTGTTCCCCGTGTCCACGACCCTGACTGACGGTCGGGGTAAGCGTCGCAAAAATAATAAAACAATATATATAATATATACATATAATATATATCTATGGTCACCAAAAATGGACAGGCACACATGCGACATATAAATATATATTTTTTGGTGACCATGTTCACAGCTGGTGTCCACCCCTGCCAGCATACATATCCACCCCAGCGGTCCGGGCGCAGATTTGCGTCCAGGGTGTCTCCCTCTATTCCTTAAACCCCTGCTCCACATGCCTTCACATGACCTCACGGCTGAACCTCTGGTGCCCTTCATCCTGCAGGCTTTCAGCGTGTTCCAGCGCGAGGGCATCAACGTGCTCATGATGAGCCAGGGCGCTTCCAAGACCAACATCTCGCTGGTGGTGGACGGCGCCCGCGGCACGGAGGCGGTGCTGGCGCTGCACCGGGAGTTCTTCGATGGCCCGTCGGTGTGCGCCATCACCGGCCTACCGCTAGCGCAGGGCATCGCGGTCGGCCTGGGCGGTAACGGTAACGGCAATGGCAACGGCCACTCTAATTAAACTAATTAACTCAGCGACAGTGGTGAATGCATGCTACGGTAAATGTGATACGGTGACGGAGGAGCCTCTTGGGCATTAAACTAAGGCTCTTGTGCTGGCGCGGTACGCGTGTGCGTGTGTGTGTTTGCATGTGTTCGGGCATATGTTTTCAACGGTGGAAAGGAGCCGTGATTCTAACCCAACGGCTTTTGACTTGCTATGATTGCTTGGCGCGCAACTCCAGGAACGGTTGTGGGAGGGACCCGGAGGGCCAATGCTGGGCGTGGGTTCACGCAATTCCACCCCGGAAGTACTGGCCGGTCATCCGCCAAGTAGTTTTGGCAACTGGTAATGCTGGCGGTAACTAGTCGTACGGCCCGGCTGACGGACAGGGTGAATCATCATAAGCTACGATTGCCTCTCTGTTGCGGAGCACGTACAGTAAACGTGTGGACTTGGATGGGTCTGGTGCGTGGGAGCTCTCCTCACGCCGGTGGCGGCTCTGATATATGGGCTCTCTTGGCAGCTTTGGTGGCGGTGGGGGTCGGGGTCGCTAGCAGCCACCCGGTGCGATCTCATTCGTTATTCGTACGACAGATCCCTCTTGGACCCTACAGGCCGTTCGGTCTGCTGATTATTTAATAGGCGCAGCTCTTGGATGATACGATCAATGTGGATTTATCTCTTAACTCCATCTATCGCGTTCTGATGCCATGACCGTTTAATCATTAGGTAAGAAAGCAAGGTCTTGTGGAGTTTTAGTTCACAGTAATTGGCGATGTCATGGCGTTTACGTGGAGAAGCGCCCTGTCGAGGATGTGCCGTAGCTTGGCGGTGTGGGTCCCAAGGGCGACGCGTCGGGCCTGCCATAGCGGTGTCGTGTGCATGCGTTACCGGGCGAATGATGTGCGGAGGTGGTGAAGCAGCCTGTGTTTGGTCGTAGTTGCGGTGAGGCAACGTAAATATTAAGTTTTGGGCCTGGTGTAGACAAAGGCCTTTTCAAGTACTCGGCCTTGCGTTCAATGCTGTTGCTTTGAAGCAGCGAGAGCTCTGTCTTATCTGTCCAAGTCATTGCCAGAACGCCGGCAATGGGGATATGGCGGGGGAACGGAGGTTGCCATGTTGATGTTATGTGATGGATTTCACACGCAGATGTACGGCACCTGGACTCTTTTGTAGTGGGTGGGACAGTCCGTTGGTACAATGGTACAAAAGGGCGTTCGTCGGACGGACTACGGCGTTGGGAAGATGTCGGCCCAGCACATCTGGAGGCAACGTCCCATAGGCGTAATCGAAAGGCCCACTCCGCCCTTCGTAGTCGTGTGCTGCCTGCAGAAACATGTTGTGTCCGTCCGTATCTGAGGATGTCTTATCAAGGGTAATTTGGTAAGCTATAGGATTGTATAGGATGTAGTAGCCTTGGGCTACTGTATGGACATCTAGTCCGTTGCGGTGTGTTGGTTGTAGAGCATTGCTGTGTGGTATATGCCGTGGCAGTGCAGGGTAATCAGTTAAGTGATTCCCGAGCTAGGGCATTTGGAGCGTGATCCTTTGCTGCACATTTTGTAGGGGCGGCTCGGTGTATTTTGTGATCGTCTTCTTGCGTCTTTCTCGGTGTGCTGTGCAGCTGTTTGTTCTTGGGCAAAACTGGAAACGGACCCGAAGAATCGAAGTTGCCTGGGGTGGCTGAATCATCTGCTGAATAAAAGTTTTTAACGTGCAAGGAGGGCCTGTGCCCTTTTGTTATTTAACTTCGTATTGCATGTCTTTAAACGCCTTCCAGGGGGAACTGAGTGTTCCCGCCCATAGCGAAAACTCGTTTCCCAACCTAGGCGTAGTTGCAGAAGAGGGCTGGAGACAGAATAATATGGTACATTCATCATTGTGCAAGCTATGGTATAATCTGCAAGTACGGTTACGCTATTGGTGCATCTACCTGTACGCACCTTCTCCCGGCCCCTCATTTGATTGCCTACGACACATACATGTTTTCATACTGGAACAGAATAGCCCAGCGTACATATATAGTTTTATAGTCCAGAGCTCAATATATAAGAGACACTGTTTACAGCTTTATTCTATTTAGGGATTGTGTATATGGTAACGCCTGCATTGCTTAAGGTCCAGGCATTCAATTCGTTTCGCCCTTTTCACCTTTTACGCTTGTCAACAATGGCTGCTCCGACCGATTTCTACTCGTTGAATGCCCTGACGAACAAGGGCGAGACTCTCGATTTTTCCACCCTCAAGGGACAAGTCGTGCTGATTGTCAACGTTGCGTCACAGTAAGTAATCGAACATCACAAATGTCTCAGACCCGCGGTGGTGAGCGCCTTGATGACAATGTTTGCTTGCTGTAGATGTGGATTCACAGGGCAGTACTCGGGACTGCAGCAGCTCTACGACTCGTACAAAGATCGCGGTTTCACCATTCTTGGCTTTCGTAAGTAGATAGCGGTGGGCAAAGCAAGGTTGGCTGAACACAGCGCAAGTGGCAACACGTATAACTCCCTGCATGGACCGCTTCCTCCTTCCCACCCACACTGGGATGCTGGCTTTCCCCTGCAGCATGCAACCAATTTGGCGGTCAGGAGCCGGGTTCATCAGAGGAGATCATGACGTTCTGCTCCCGGAACTACGGCGTAAGCTTTCCAATCATGGCCAAGGTCAACGTCAATGGCGACGACGCCTCGCCCGTCTACAAGTAAGGCCCCTCTGCCATCTCCTTCTCCCCGCGCGCACCTGCATCCATTCCGAGCTGCCGCGGTGTTCGCAGCATTGGGGGAGCTTTGATCGTGTGCTGGAGTCGCAATCTGTTGCCTTGTGGGAGCGTGTATGTGCTGTTGTTGAGGTTGATCAACTGGAAAAATGACTTTGACGAACTCGCCATTTTGTGGACTTTGGTTTTACGCCTGCTCTTTACGTGCGCCCTATCCGTCTTCACTTGGGCCCGCTAACTCCTCTCAAATCTCTGAACGTGCAGGTTTCTTAAGTCGCAAAAGAAGCAGCTTATGATGGAGATGATTAAGTGGGTGAGTGTGTGGGGTTGCCTCAGGGTCACGAACGTTGTTTTTTTTACGACATCTATCTCTGTCGTGCAAAGGAGCACAGGGCTACCAAACTGGCACGGCATGGTGTCGTCGCCCCTGTTCCTCTTTTATTTCTTACTCCCCGGTCTGCTGATGATGATTGTTTTTTTGCAGAACTTCGAAAAGTTCCTCATCAACAGGCAGGGCGAGGTGGTGGGTCGCTTCTCCAGCATGGCCACTCCCGCCAGCATTGAGTCGGAGATTCAGAAGCTGCTGTGAGCGGCGGTTTCTGCGTACGGTGAACAGAGCAAATGGAAGCCGTACAATTGCCTGTCGCGTACGGCTTGCCTGGGACGAAGAGCAGGATGTGGACATATCATCACCTGATCCAGGTGGCCGTCATGGCGCTGCAAGCAGTGTATCACGAGCCATTGTTGCTGTTGTTTCAACTACTGTTGCTGCTGCTGCCCTACTTCCGGATGTTTTTGCTGCTGGAGCATTGGATAATGTTGGTGCCGCTGTACGGAAAGATCTGTGGTGCTCTAAGAGCAGGATTTTCGCACTGGAAGAGCAGCGCAGTGGTTCGTTGGCATTGCGCGACGTGCCAGTCTGTTGACTGAGTCCGTGATATTGACCATGCCGTTGCATTGTTGTTTTAAGTATCGAGAAGTTCAAGCTTATTGCAAAATAGGTTGCTTGATTACAGGTTTTGCCACAGAGAACAGCCCGACGCTTTTGGAAAAGTGCCAGCGCAGACTCGTTCTCTGGTGTGCACGCAAGGCGAGATTTAAAATTGCCAAACTGCTTGTTCAAGCCTGCCTTGCTCGGATGTTTTCTTCATTTGCTTTCTACTTGCAGTTTTCCAATATAAATAGCAGAACCCAAGCCATGCAGCATGCACGTTGCATCCAGCGATGTACGCAGCAAACTCAGGCCATTCCTGCAATAGTCGCATGAGGCTGTGGCGAGAGTTTGGTGTTTTCGCCATCTTCCGCTATCAAACCTAATGTTGTCGTAGCGGGGGCTGCACCATCCTCCGATAATCGACGCCGAATTTTTGCCCTTCCCTTCCGACTTAAGCCACCAATAGACGTTACCCCGGCACAGCAGCCGCGTGCCCCCCAGCAACTCAACCACCAAGCATGGCTTCAGGTGCGTCTCCACGGGGATCGCATACATGTCGTACGGCATTACGACTGCCAATATGAAACATCCACGCACCTGTTTGCATGCAGCTTCCTAGCGAAACGCACATGAGGTGTCATGACCTCCCCGCTGCCTTCCAGGTCTGTCATATGAGTCCGTCGCTACGCTGGACATCGCCACGCTGTCACGCCAAACTAAGGTTACACTGTTGCACTGCATGAGTGCGCATGACTTCAACATTGCCTCCAGCGCCCACACGATATGTGCAGTGTTGCTGAACTGGGGATGGAGCTCACACACATTCAGCCTCTTGTAAGCTGCGCAGCACGCGTGCCGTCCTGCAACAACAGCATGCTTGCTCCATGCATGAATACAACAACCTACAGCTTCGCACCAACCTTCCACACAAACACAAAGCGGCCGCACACGTTGTATGCATGTCTAGGTCGTGACAAAGTCCAAATTTCCTGGACAAGTCAAGTGTTACATGACATGGCTCTGGTGTTTGTATAATTTAATAAAAGTCCGCGTCCATGTGCCTCCAAACCTCTGAACTGAGCTGATTAGCTGGACGGCGCGTGAAAGTGAACTATTGCCCGACGTTGGCCGTTGCGTCCTCGCGGGTCGCGGCTGTTTATCCTGTAGCCTTATGTGAGGCCCTGTTAGCATAGCACGAGTTGGCCGGGTTGGCCGGGTTACGAAACACAGACAGCCTTAAAGAGACCACTCGTAGAGCATCGTGTTGTACCGGGGTCGAAAAAAGAGGGACAGAGAGAAAAAGAGGGAGAGAGAGAGAGAGAGGAAAGGAGCGGAGCAAAGTTCAAAAGTCTTATCGACGGCCGGCCACCGCACCGCCGTCATCATCGTCATCACCGCTGCTGCCGCCGTCGCTGTGGTCGCGGCGGTGGCAGGTGCTGTACACCGCCCGTACGTGCTCATGCGGGTAGCGGCGCCCGCACACATCACAGGGCTTGAGCCGCCACTCCTCCTCGTCCTCTTGGTCCTCCCCCTGCACCACCGTGCGCACCGTGTGCATGCGTGTCCCGGTCAGCCTCTCTCTTTTGGAGTCTAGCGCTCCGGAATAATTTAAAACATTTCAAATCAAATGCCTCGGACAATATCTGATGATCCTGAGTAAATCACACGGTGATCTCCCACCACACGTGTAAGTGCCCCACAGGGTTTCAGCTCCGATACCTCCTTGCGCTCTCCCCCCCCTAAGTCCGATCGAGAGCTGTTTTACCACGGCCCCTTTACTTTGGAAATTGAATCGCCTTCTTCCTCCCTTTCCTCCACGCCAACCTTAACCCAGAGACCCACCGCCGTACCTTAAACTCTTTACATGCCGTACGCGCCGTCCTTTACATGCTGTACATGCACATTTGTAATGGAGTTCGTCACTTCCGGGCCCTACCCAGCCAACCAAACAGCTGCACGATGCACTTCCCAGGCGCACCTCAACATCGCTGCCTCCGCCTCCGCCATCGCCAATGTCATCCTCGTCGCCATCGTCGTCGTCGTACGTTCTACTACCACCTCCGGGTCTTGTTGTCGTACCAGGGGCGGTGGCTGCGGCGCCTCCAGTTCGCCGTCTTGGACCTCGCCCGCTGAACCTTGCGCCGCCGCCCGCGGAGTCTCGAAGAACCCTCAATCGCCGCAAGTACGACGTCACCTGTACGAACCCACATACCCCACGTTAGCCTTTCATCAAGCCATGTTGTGTATACGAAACGATCGGTTCTTGCCGGTACCGTACCACTGTGCCGAACCAAATTCGTACCAATGAACCCCTCAAAATCGTCGTCCTCCTCCTCCTCCTCCTCCTCCTCCTCATCATCATCATCATCCCCCCCCTTCCTCCTCTACGAATCACCTTGACGATCTCAATGGTTATTGGCTCACGTCGGGCCGCCTTCGAACAACAACTAGTTCCTGGCCTGGCTTGACAGCCGCCTGGCGGTACCCTTCCGCCCACTAACCCCAGGCGCTCTCCTTCCTAAACTCCCCCTCCCCGCTCCCTTCCTAGCTCCCCCCTCGGCCCCCCCTCCCTCCTTACTCCTCCCCCCCTCCCTCCCGCACCTCCTCCTCCACCAAGCAGCCGGGGGGCCCGAATTGGGAGACAGCCGCGCGACCCACCAGCGCCGTGGACCTGAAGCACAACAGCGCTGCGACCCCGGGCGGGTGCGCGGGGGGGGGCAGGAAGGGATGAGTGCAGACGACTGACGGCGGGTGCGGATGTGCCTAGAGGTAGAGCCGGCGGCGGCGGTGGCAACGAGATAACCGGAGGCGAACAACGAGGAATAACGAGGAGTAGAGCAGGAATCAGCAAAAGCTGCTGCTCAGCGCCACACATTTCCTACCTTAACTTCCAACATCCAACGTCTAACTTCCAACTTCCAAACCTACCCGGCAACTCCTCCAACCTCAATCTCGCCACCAACGGCTCCCCTCTCTTAACCGCCGCCCTTGCAAAGAAGGTCCAACGGTAACGGTGAGCCAGCGTGGTGAGATGCTCGTCCAACATGGCGCCTGCCTACGTGTACGGATGCACGAATGTACACGTATATACAAACGTAACAGGAAGTACGGCACTGTACGGCATTCACGGTTACAAGGGTCCGGCGGCCGCGTGTGCCTCTGGCATGCGCATGTAGGGTCCGGGTCGCACAGGCTCCCGGTGCCACATAGTACGGCAGCTCGTCCCGCAAAGATCCACAAGTCCATAGTACACAGCCGGAACACGCCAAACCCACCGTGGCTTCTCCCCCTTTCCCCCTTAAACCCCTCTCCCAACCCCCCACCCAACCCCCCTAGCTCCATCTCGCCGCCCAGTCCAGCCTTAACTTTGCACATATCTACCCCTCCCTCTCTCCAACCCAACCACGCACATACAAACAAACAAACATACATACATACATACATACATACATACATACATACATACATACATACATACATACATACATACATACATACATACATACACACAAACATACATACATACGTACGTACGCCCCTACCTCGCATCCCCCAACAGCCAAATGCACCACAGCAGCAGCCCCTCCGGGAAAATCTAACTGCTCCAACCGCTCCTGCCGTATATAGGGTAAGGTTGCGTTGTATAGTGTTGTGTTAGAATGGCTGTATGTTTGTATGTATGTATGTACATGCCCCGGGTGTTGCACCCCAGCAACGGGACTTCACCGGGCCAGGGCAGCAAGCAGCCCAACCCGCCCCCATCAGCCGCAGCCAGCCACCTACTTACCCGCTTGCTTCGGACCTTCCTCGTGTTACTCGGGAGGGAACGAACTGGGGGCCCCATGCTGACGCTGGAAGATTGCGTTGGTTGAGGTTGCATGCCCATACCCACCGCGCGCTAGCCAAGGGCAAACGTGCGCTACTCAAAACCTCCAGCCGTGCAGGTTTTGAAGGTATCGGCAGCTGAACATTTTCGCTTTACAAGCATGTACGTGATGTCTCCGCTCATCACCCCTCTACTCCGTGCAGCTCGCCGCAGCATGCAGCCCGCCGTGGTTCACACCACGAACCCAACCCGGGGCTTCCCCTCCCTCTCCCCTCTCCCTCTCCCCCTCTCCCTCTCCCCTCCCTCTCCCCTCTCCCTCTCCCCCTCCCTCTCCCCCTCCCCCTCTTCCCCTCCCTCTTCCCCTGGCCTTTGGGGCAAGTCTATGCGAGGCGACGTGATGAGTCCTTTTCGGAGCAACGAGCACCGTTGCACCCACCATCAGGGCACCAGGTGGCAGATCATTGAGGCGGCCATAGCCCTGATCTGCAGCCTGCCGCCGCTCCACTGCCTGCCGCTGGAGCTCCGCGAGCCGCCTCCGCCGGAGCTCGGACAGGAGACCTGAACACCAGTGCGATGGTGTGACAAAGACGGTTAGGACGGTTAGGACGGATTGCTGGGAGTTGGGAAATAAATCGGTAACCGCCAGGTTTTGTTTTGTGTAGGGGCATGAAGGCAGGGCCCTCTTGCTGTCCGGGAACTAGATTTCCACTCCTTACCAAGGAACCCCTATATCCTCTTGACTGTGCCCGTGAATCACAGCACACATATGACCGCCTACGGCCCACCATCATCGTCCTCCTCCTCCTCCTGCTCGGCGTTAAGAAGGTTTTCCGTGTCGGGTTGTTGATGTGGCGGCTGATGCTGTTGGGCTGGCACGTGGAGCGCTTGCTGCTGGAGCTTCAAACGCGCAGTGCTCCGGTCTACGTCTAGGAGGGCTTGACGTAGGGCCTCAGCGCGGCGCATGTTGCGCAGGTCCTCTTCGCAACATCCTGCTAGCACCGGGTCATCTTGAAGCTCCCTTGGGTCCGGCAGCCCGAATCGAGCCGCATCTGCTGCGTCCTTCTCTTCTTTAGACGTGCAGCAGGAGCTTTCTGAGGTTTCCATGGCTATACTGCGGCGTTGCGCACCCGACAATTGAATGGAGATATTATTCGCTGGTAGGTTGTCTGTTCAGGGCGATCGCAATATTGCGTTCGTAGTATTGGTTTTAAAGTGAACAAGGTATTGCGTGTATAGATGTGGCGAAAGGTTGCTTCAGGTATTGTGCCTGGATGACTGTGCTTTAACCACCATCCGTACGCTTCGATGCCCTTCTTGAACTGATCAGGTATTGACCTTAGGTTTCGAAGGGTTACATGACATGTAGCCCTTATATGCTGTAAACTTTACTAACTTATGCAGGCCCGAGGTTATGCACGCTGTGCGGTTGGTTCGCTGTTCGGAATTTTGACTTGCACGACTATTGTAATAGCTACTAACTTATTGAATGGAATAAAATTAGATCCTTCCGTTCCCGTATATAAACCCGAGGATTTCATCGTTGTTATAAATACCGAGCAGGCGAGATTGCAGTTGGCGCTTGCATCAAGGCCCCTCCGGTGCGTACCCTATGAGAAGCACCCGATACGCAGGTTCTGCCTTGCCAGCAACGGCCCCGGCCCCCGACTGACCCAACATTGACATCTTCATCCGTAGGGTCGGTCTCCGGACATTCATTGCGCTAGACAACGCCAGCCTTGCCGAAGAGCTTAAACAAAGCGGGCACCTCCACAATGAAACTTACGCTTACTTCCCAAACAGGTGCGTACCACAGCGCCATGCTCCGCTGAAGTCCGTACTACCCTGTCCCTGAAGCAGCACACCTTAACCCGGGGTTTCCCTCTTCCAAGCATCCCACCTCACCCTGTGCCATGACCGTCACAATTTACAACGAGCTCGCCGATGTCCTGCTCATGCGATGGTGGGTGCAACCTCAGGAATATTACGGGCCCGGAGAAAAGCAAGCCCGGCGACACCCGGTGGCAAGCCGCTCCCTTTATGGCTCACCGTCACTATGGCCCCACTTACAAGTGGATGCTGCTCGGAGACGATGATACCCTATGGTTCATGCTAGGTGCGGTGAGGTTCGTGCGTGGATTTGACGAAGGCAAGGAAAAAGGAATGATTGACCGAGAGAGGGACTGAACAAGGGGGGCCATCTTTCCCCCACCTTTGCGTAAGCCCTCCTTACCTGCCTTCTGTGTACGGGTCCTCCCACGGCTCCGTACGGCAGGTGTCAAACGCCTCCTGTACGGCTACGATCACAACCTGCCGTACGCCATCTCCGACCACATGGGTGACCATAATGCTCGCGGCTTCTTCTTGCCGTCGCCCCTGGCCGCCGTTTGCTCTCCCTGCCACTGGACCGACCTGCTCCATGCACACCATCGAGAGGATCTTTTGCCGTACAGCTCTGCCGTACTGACGCAGCAGGAGATCTCTGAATGGGATCCTCGGGAGCTGGATGGCTGGGGCTGGGGCGACCCCGCCGTCGCCCGTACGGCAAGATGGATCCGAAGACGCAGTCAAGGCGGCGGCGGCGGCGGCGGCGGGACGAGGCAGCGGCGAGTCGCACTTGCTACAGACGCGGACGACGGTATCGATAACGGGTGGAGCGGAAAGGGGGCCGTCATAAAGCCGAAGCGACAGCCGCATGACTACCCAGCGTGGGGCAGGAGGGGCCAGGCGCCCATCAACATAACGGAGGCGCTTGGTACGGCATATTACAGCACCGCGTCTGGCTTCGAAACCGTCGTACAATCCTCCGCCGGTACCTCCGCAAAGGTAGCGGTGGTTGGGACGGTCTCGCCCCCGCCGCCGCCGTCGCCGCTACGCAAGCTGCCGCCGCCGATCCCGCCACCAGGTTGCCCCTGTCGACCGCCCGAGGGGTGCCTGCACCGCGCCCGCGTCTGTCGCGGCCGTAGCCGCGGTCAGGAGCTGTGCGGCCGCACGCTGGCTTTCAAAACCGGTTTCCGCGGGAACCGCAGCTGGTGCGGCTACAGCTGGGGCCACGGCGGCGCCGGGGTCGTGCTGTCCGTGGGGCTGTTGCGGGCGACGGCGGGCGGTCCGGGGGAGGTGTGTGCCCGTACGACACAGGTCCACTCCTGCGACATGAACCTCGCTATGTGCCTCATGAACCCCGCTCTGGGTCTCTCAGGGCTACAAGGGGGGGCTACAGGGCTACAAGGGGGGGCAGGCGCTGGTGCAGTCCACGACAGCGGTAGTGACAATGGTAGCGGCAACAGGGGTAGCAGTAGCAGTAGCGGTAGCAGTAGCGCCAGCGACAACGGGGATAGCGGTAGTGTTTCGTTGCTACCGGGCGGAGGTGGTAACGGCGCCACCAGCACAGTTGGTCGGGTAGAGGAGGTGGAGAAGGAGGAGGAGGGTTGGGGTGGCAGCGGGTTGGGGATAGACAGGTCGGAGGCGGGCGCTGGGCCTAGGGTTTCAGGAGGCCTGGAGGGATTCATGTTCACGCACCCGGGAAATGCAGTACTGCGCGGCGCAAACTGGGCCGACCCGCGGTTCATCGTGTTCGATAACCCCGTGTATCAGAAGGTGTTGCGCGACCCGGTGGGGTTCCTGGAGGGGCGTGTGGTGTGCGGGCGTGGGGACCGGGAGGCAGCTATGGTGGCGGCGGCGGCTCTTGCGGAGCGGCCCGTGCCTGGTGAGGAAGGAGGGGAGGCAGCAGCGCAGGGAGTGAGGCAGGGGGCCTCGGTAGAGGGCGAAGATCCAGGGGGGAAGAAGGGGGGAGCGGAGGAGGTGCCGGTGCCGGGGGGCGAAGAGGATGGCTTGGGAAGCAGCCGGCAGTTGCTGCTGAGCGGCGTGGGTGCGGGTGATGGTGGGGGAAGGGGGGATGCGGTGGGCAACGGTAATACCGGTCCCAGTGGGTTGCAGTCGACATGGGGACGTGGAGAAGAAGGAGAGGGAGGTGAAGTGGCGGGCGCGGGTGTCGTACTACCGCGTTGGCAGACGGTCGTACTGGCGGCAGCGGCGGGCGGTCGTATGAGGGCGAATCTGGGGGGACGGGAGCAGCTACAACCTCAGCAGCAGCAGGGGCTTGGTCAGTTAGCTGGAACACTTCTTGAGGCGGATGCGGCTAAGGGGCCGCTTAGCAGCAGCAATAGCAGTAGCAATAGCAGTGGCAATAGCAGCAGCAGCGGTGTAGGGAACCCGGAGATTGAGGTTACACCGGGGGAAGTCGCACAGAAGTACGGAAGGGTGTTGCTCCGGGGAAGGGAGCAGCAGCGGAAGCAGCTCGGGCTGGATGCTTATGGCACAGCCAAGGTAAACGCAGAAGCGGCGACAGCACGGCGCACGATGGTGGCAAAAACGACCGCAGCTTCCAAGAAGCGTCGCCGGGATGGCGGCGGCGAGCTCGATGTCGACGACGACGGTGCCATCTGCAGCTGGCTTGTACGACATGCCGTATCACTGCACATGCACGGCAGGAGTTACGGTTCGTATGAGGGTGCTGCGAAAGCGATGGCCGTGGTCGTACGGCAACACATGCTTGCCGTACGACGCCTCCGGGAAATGCAGCATCAACCTCAATAAAGATTGCTGCTGTTGCTGCTGTTCCTCGTACTACTTGTACTGCTTGTACTGCCACTGCTGTGGTAAGGATAATTTTATTATTACAGTCTGAGGCAGTAGCAGTACATGTGGTTGGCTGGGGGCCGCTGTAGCAAGGGGCCGCATGGCCACGTGGCAAAATCGGATATAGCGCTGAGGGGGAGAGAGAGAGAGAGCAACCTGCCGAAAGTCAGGTCGGTTCGGATGCTTAAATTTGTGTATGTATGTATGTCACAAGAGTTTTGATGTTCCGGGCAGGTCCGTGATTGTGAGGTGGTGCTGAGTACTGGCGGGGCTGGTGGGGTACTGTAGGGGGGTACTGTAGGGGGGAGGGGAGCAGCTCGCTCTGAACCTTATACACCATTGCAGGCGGGATCGCACGACATAACAATTTGGGTTTCGGAGCTGAGCTGGCAATATCTGTGAGCGGTTTAATGAGGCCATGGCCAGGCGGCAGTTTTATTCGGGCCAGGTAGAAACGCGGGAGATGTCCCGCCGTGTCCCCGGGCGGTGGGGCATTGTGTTGGGACGTCTTAGGCTTATGCGGACATGTTGGGGAGGAGCACGTCGCTTCTACATCGCAACGTGGCAGAGCACGGCCCCGCTTGTCTTGTGTCGACGACGTAACCCACCTCTCTTTTAGTGTGTTGGACTTTAGATCACTGCCGCAGTGGTAGGGCGTGCCCGAAGGAACCCTATGTGTGTGTCGGTATGTATGTATGTGAGTGACAAGGCAAGAAGACAGTCAGCGACCCATTTACATGTTCATGGAACGACGTCTGTACTTCTCCGTCCGAGATGTCGTACTATATACTTTTCGACGATCACCAGTGCATGTGCAAGGCGTACGTCCATACAGGCAAACAGACACGGACACACAAGGTCACATGGAACGTGCGCAGCTCACATCGTGGACGTGCTACGTGGTATGGATTCGGTGTGGTGCAGCGGGGTTTGGGTTGCGTGCGTGAACGAATGCGTGTTGGGAATGTCTTCTAAGGTGTGAATGTGAATGGCCCCGTTCCGTTCCGCTCCGTGGAAGGTGACAGCTGAAGGACCCTATGCGGTGTCAGAACCACGCAATGGGTGGGAGGGTAACAGCCTTTGGCGCAGCGGCGCTGTAATGGCCACGTGCCAAGTTTCAAGTCCTGATGCAGGCATGTTCCCTTTTTTGGTCGCCCTTTTCGCTGTGGAGAATTTGCATTTTGGCCCCGGCCATGACCATTTCCTAGGCGTCAGGACAAAAACGCCGGCGAGCATCCTAATGGCCTGAATAACTTGAACACGAATAGGTAGTAATATAAGGATATTTTGTGCATAAGAAGGCTTACGCGTGCTTGCCCACTGGAAGTAACACCCTGTTAAAGGTTTGATTCGCACTAGTTTTCGCCGGTGGGCAGCCCAAATATTACCATGGTAATTTAGTTGCCACCGCTTGTTAGAGATAAGAGTCCTTCAGTGAACACATCACTCGCTCATATCGTTACACAAGGAGAGAGAGAGAAAGGATACGCAAGCAGTATATAAGCATACCGTAGCCAATCCTGATCCGATGTCGTATTGGGATAACGGCAACTAATCAAACTACCGAAGTGTCAAGCCTGAGTGTACCTAAGAGCACTTTCCAACACTCCCACGCGCTCAGGACTTGCACACGTTCATCGCTATACGATGCTTCTCAAACTTCTCAGTTGGTAAAGGCTTCGTTAAGCAATCAGCTACCATATCTTCCGACCTGCAATCTACCATCACAAGCGTACCGAGCGCTACCTGCTCCCGTACAAAATGATAACGCACAGAGATGTGCTTCGATTGCTTCGAAACAACCGGATTGCTCGCCAACCGAATTGCGCTCTGACTATCGCAATTGATCTGCGTTGGCTTGAGGTCGTAGCCGAGATCGCCAAGTAGTTGTCGCAACCATAAAGCCTCCTTAGCAGCTTCCGAAACAGCCATATACTCAGCCTCCATAGTGGACGCAGCCACGCTCCGCTGAAGTTTGCTAGCCCAACTAACTGTACCACCATGAAGAGTAAAGACATAACCAGACGTTGACCGCCGCGAGTCAGCACAACCCGCATAGTCAGCATCGCTATATCCGACCAACCTCTCATCTGCTCGTTCACCACCTAGAAGTAATCCGTAATCGGACGTTCCTGCCAAATAGCGTACTACCTCCTTCGCCGCTTTCCAGTCCGACCTGCTAGGATTCGACATGTGCCGCGCCAAAACTCCCACGGCTTGTGCAATGTCAGGACGAGTACATCCAGACACGTACAACAAACTGCCAATTAACTGGCTATACGGGAAACGCTCTCGATCCAGCCGATCTTCCACTGCAGCATTAGGTAAGACGGTTCCAGGACTCATAGGTACAGACTTCGGCCGTGAATTAGCCATGCCATAAAGACCCACAATGTCCTTAACCATACGCCCCTGAGAAACGGTAATTACCCTGTTCGCTCGATCGCGCTTAAGAGTAAGACCCAAAAATAAACTTGCCTCTCCTAAGTCGCGGCACTCAAACCGCCGCATGATAGCCGCCTTTACTTCTGAAACGGCTCTCTCGCTCCAAGACGCAATCAAAACGTCGTCTACATAAACCAAAAGATATACAACCTCGCCTTGTTTACGGCGAACAAATAAACTAGGGTCCGCACTCGACGCGACAAAGTCCATCGACACTAATTCTTCACATAACGTGTCATACCATGCACGCGACGCTTG